ACTGTAAGCAAACATCTTACAAGTCTACTAGACCTAGTAAGAGTTTGAAGGGGAGTGTTAAGATGAGACTACACAAGAGTATGTCTCAGATGATATAAACTACATTACAAGCAATGATGAACAATGATGGAATACCTTCCATCATACATTCTACATCTGAGACATACCTACATAGTATATATATAGACTAACTAATCAACAGACGATGAAGCAAGCTGCAAGAGAGCAAGCTGAGTCCACTATCCCCCCCCTCTTTGTGTGATTCCTCTAAGCCTCTCACATAACCTCTCTTCCCCCTTTCTTAACAGAAAGCAAGCCAATAGGCTCTGTACAAGCAAAACGTCTGCCTGGACACTCTCAAAAGCTTACAAACACTATGCTTGACAGTCAGTCAGATTCTGTACCTCCTGAAAGTATCCCTACAGTATGTATTCATTCTAACTACTCTATTTTTTGCATATCTTACTTCATTTATAGATCAAGCATAAAACGTCAGATGTACTGAAAGAAGGTCAAGCCAACAAACCAAAGGCTGGTGTCAAGCATGGCCCTGGACAACCCTGTAAAGTTGCTACAGACTCAGCAAATATACAGCCTACAGTAAACAACATTACTCCTAGTATTCAGGTAAGCTTTCCTCATTCTATTACATTGTCACTATACTAATTTATGATAAGTCTGTTGAGATTGTCAATGAAGTTGTTGATCTACCTGATGATAGTGTTGATCTCTATGCTGAAGAACTGTCAGAGCTTGAATTGACTTGTACAGCTTTATTAGTAGTAATAGGTAGTAATGATGATGAAGCCAGAGAAGATGATAGAGAAGAGTTTGACTTGGATGAAGTCTTGGATGATGAAGAGTTTGACATTACTAGTATGTATTTGTATCTACTACTTGTTATTACTAGCTAATTGATAACTGTATCAGCTGTTTGTAAATCTGGCCAGACTGTATCATCAGCTACTCAGACTCAAAGACTGAGTTGGTCTTCTCAAGACACAAAGATTGTTATTCAGGTCTCTGATAGTCATACAGTATGCAACCTGACCATATACAAGTCCTGGAGGTTTTGTGTTCTTCTACATCAAACAGAGGATATTATGAAAATGCCTAGGAGTCATATTTCTCTTGTGTACAAAGCCCCATGGTGTAAATGAACTGGTCTGAAAATGGTTCCACATTATCTGGAAAATGACAATGATTATGCAAAACTGTTCTCTCAATACAAAGAATACATGGATGCACAGCAGAAGAAGAAGAAGGGGGGTGCTGTATCATGTCCAATCATCCTTACTAACATTAATGATAAATTTCAAGTAGTCTTTTCTTTATTTCTTTAAAAACTATTTACTGATAATGAACAAGCAGGCTTCAAAGGCTACAAGTTGTAAGACTAATGAAACTAAAGCATCTGACTCTTGGTCAAACTCAAACAATACAAAGACATTTATACTGTCTATTATTACTGAAAAGCTTCAGGAGATAGAGGCAAACTTCTATTGTCAAAAGTACAGTCAGACATGCTACAAGACATACTATGGTGAACACAAATTGTATACAAACAATCACTTGACAACTCACACACAACTTCTTGTGAGTCACTAAATACTGAACTGTTTTTAAAGCTAATAATTGTGAAGAGTAACAGTGTTAAAGGTGTTACAGCCAAAGATGTGCCCAAGCAACTCAAGATTATGGACTATATCAAACCATCCAAGGCTTGAGAAAAGGCTGTAGGTGATAACATGGGTGATCTTACAGATGTTGAGAGTAGTGTTGGTGTAATGATTCAGGATAGTCTCTCTCAACCTGTTATGCTGCCATCTGAAGGAATACTCCATCAGAAGGTTTAGGACTGGCTCTACACATGCACGACTCGTCAGGATTGTGGTCAGGATAGTCATGACTATATGGTACTGGCTGATGTATTTGAGCAGAACAAGATTATGCATCTGGACAATATTACCTTTCTTACTACAAAGGATATCATTGACCTAGCTCATGATTGTAGGGTTACTGTCTTGCAAGGTCTTGCTAATCGAATCATTAGATATTCAAATGAAGATATTAAAGATCATAAGGGGAAAGGAAAGGAGTAAAGAGACTGTACAATCC